CTAAAGGTATTTAGAAGGAAAGCATATCCAAGTTGTAACATCGTCTTCTAAAAATAAGAAATTATTATTTACATGATTAAAACAAACGTCATTTAGATTTTGAAACTTGAGGATTAGGAAAGAAAACCATACTTTCATTGGCTGATTTAGACCTGATTCTCCATTAAAATTTGGTGAACCCCACCATTAAGAAGAAGCAGTCTTATCATTATTTCTCTAAACACTTAACTGGTTTAGATTTTTTTGTTCTTTATTTTACCTTGGGCCATAAATTAGGGAATTTTTTTTATTAATGTTATAAAAAATAAAAAATGAGTCTATTTGTTTAGTGGAGAATGTTCCTCCATGAAAATAGTGGAAAGAAAAATTTTCACATTTTTTCAGAACTTCCGTTCGTAAAAAATGAGAAATAATTTAGATAAAAATTTTCTTGTATTGGACAGATTTTTACAAAAGTAACTATTTTTTTTTTCTCCTTATGAAAAACACAGGAAAAATAAAATTTTTCCACATCTGTCTTTCATTCTAAACTATAAAGTGAAAATTTTCCCCAAGCCTCTAAAATTTAATCTATTGCATACAAGGAAATATACTTTTATTTTTTTCCTTTCTATCATTTAATTTAATCTGGTTTTCAACCATTTATACTTTCTTTCATTTTTTTTTCTTCATAAAGCCTTCATTCTAAACTATAAGTATTTGGTTTTTTTTTTGAAAATTGTCTATTCTCATTTCAACTTTCAAGCAAACAAAAAGCAAATGCAAATAGCCCAAATTTCAAAGTGAAGGTTCCAACAACCAATTTCAATCCCTTTATTATTTTCTTTATTTACATTTTTTGAGGGTGCTTTAATTTTGTTATAGTATTTTTAAATCCCAAAATAATTTATAAAACTCAGTACTACGTTTTGTTTCTACTGTTGCTGATATATAAATGTTGTAAGAAGAAGTAAAGTGAATCACCTTTATGAAAAAAGGGATTTCAGAAAATGGGAAGGGTCTCAACTTCTCTCATAATTAGATTAATCATCAAAATCATTTATCAAAATAGATCGATACAAACTCGAATACATACAAAACGAGTATAATACGATAAAAATTCCATAAAACACAACTATAAATGAGTTGGTATCACTGAATAAATTTTAACATGGTACAATTCAACTACTAACAAAATGGTTTGAGAGGACTCAATTACCTACAATAACGTCAAGTTCATTTTACATTATGTAAATGGAAAACAAAAATAAATAAATAAATAAATCATCAACACTGTATTTCTTTTTCTCACTTTATTCCCTGACATTTCACTTTTGATTTTATGGAGGACCCTATTTCCTTTCATTCTCATTTATTTGTGTTTTTTTTCCCAAACTTTGGATACCCAAAAGTTGTCTTCGTGCTCATAATTACCCTATTCTTCTCAGTTCCTACCACACAATGAACCATAATTAGGATATCCATTTTGATTGAAATTATTATAAACCCCTTATAACTGTGGAAGCAAATTCTCTAGGCGTATTTTGCTGCAGTACATCACCAAAATTTTTAGAACTCATTGGTAATCAAGTGAAGTAACTTGCAAAACCAAAAGAGACAGATATTTAAAATAGGAGACTACTTCTAGATTGAAGAAAATTAATCCAATAATTAATTAATTATTTATTTATTTTTTGCTACTTCTAGATTAAATTTCATATATGGTTTTGGCAAACAAAGATAGCGTTGGGGTATGAAAAAGTAACTTTTGGGTGTTTTATCAAAAAGTCATTTCAATCATGTCTGTTTGTTTGAGTTAATTTGAAATATTGATAGCCTAAGTAGTAAAATTAATTTAAAAAAAAAAATTGTACATGTCACATTTTCCTTCTATAAAAGAGAAGGTANTATAAGTTCATCTCAAGCTCCACTGGCAAGCTTGAACTCATCTTGAAGCTCAATTTGATTTTTAGGTCATATGCTCAGGTTTTGGTGTATTTAACTTGTTTTGAAAATTACAAATTCGAATTTGAATCTCATCTCAAACAAATTCTAGAAACATATCCTATTGTAAGGCTTGAACTCCCACTCGCTTGATTAGACATCAAACAATTTACATTTTGGGTTAAAATGATAAATTTGTTATACCTGCATCGCAAAAAAAGTTTTACATACTTTGTTATAACAATCGTTGCTTGCACTCTGTAATGTATTTTGAAAGTCAATCATATTAGATTTACTTTTAGAGCAATTTAATCATTATAATTGATTAGATTATCTAATTAAGTCAAAAAAATATTTTCCTTACTTTTTAATCTCAATGAATCGAAACACGGAAGGCCAATCCGAACTCCAGTTACTTAATTCGTTTAACAGCTCCAATTAAATATACCCAACAAATTAAAAACTGTTTGTGCAATTAGAAGAGAGTTTCTGTACGAATGGTGTATAATTGCATATATAATTTCTTCAATATTTATATACATACAACTTTTTACCAATAATCAAACCAAAAAGAAAAAAAGAAAAAGCAGTGAAAGCAAAACCAACCTAGTAAATTGACTAAAGTTGATGAACACCAAATTTTTTTTGGATTAAACCAACCACATGTTCTCTCCATGTGTTTGGAAGAGAAACAAAAGACACCCATAAAATCACATGCTATCTATCAGAGACCAAAAAATGGATATAAAAAAAAAAACCCATTTACACAATTAAACAACTCTAAATTGTTTCAAAAGTATTTGAAAGTTCCATGTCACCTTTTCACAAAATTCTCTCAGTTCTTAGGGTTCTTCAAGGTGATCTCCAGCTGTGTAGCCCAATGCCGTTGTGTTTTCTTGACGGACCGGAGGACGGTATTGGTACTCTTCTGGGCAACAAGTTGAAGAAGTGGCCTGAATTCTGAGAGGGGGGTTTGAGTCTGAATTCATTGATGCTTCTTGAGCCATGACAGTGCCCAACGATGAAGATGAACACCAAGACCAGCCAAAGAAGTAGAAGTAGAGGTTTTTTACACTCATCCATTTTACAGAACTATTAGAGAGTGTGTGTCAGTGTGTGTTGGGGGGGCGGGTGAGTGAGAGAGAGAGAGAGGAGTTGCAAACGGGGTGGCTTGTTTTTGAGGGTTTTGATGAGAAAAAGGGTAGTACAGCAGGAAACATGGGCAATTGCACAAAATCGTGTGCATCAGATTGGGCCGTTTGGCAGGAGAGAGAGAGAGAGAGAGAGAGAGAGAGATGGCTTAAAGAAATCAGATGCTTCTACAGTTCGTAATATTAGAAGAAGAAAGTTGCAAAAGTTTGGAAGGCCTCTTTGAATAGGTCTTATGGGTTAGGGACATGGCATAGTAGCAAAAAGGTTTTTGCGGTATTGTTGATTTAAATTATCTGTGGATATAGATTATAAAAATCATAAAATAACAAAAAAATAAGTAAAAGTTATTTTTTTGAATGCCATAATTTGATTATATGATAAAAAGATGTATCACATCAAAAAATTATTGTTTAGTACCAAGATTTAAGCCGTCGCTGAAATTTGAATGACAAAAAACAGGTGATACAGGAAAATAATGATTTTTTGTTCTTTGTCAAATGCCAAGAAAAGAAAAGGAAAGGATTGAAAGATACGTAAAGTAAGAGGTAGATAGGTTATGTGACCTTATCGCTAGATGTCTGTTTGGTCCCACTTCATATTAATGGTCAATTAAGGTATTGGCACTGTTCTTTTAGACCCCTTTTTACAGGAAAGCTTGTCCCCTTGTACCGTTCTCTTTTGTTGGGTTTAATTCAATTCTCATTCTCTCTCTCTCTCTCACTCAATGATCTTTATATTTCTCTCTCAATGATCTTTATATTTCTCTCTCTTTCTAGAGTTTGAAATGTGGCGTAGTAGCTGTTGACACAGTGAGGCTGATGGAGATGATGGTCAAGTGTTTGTAGTACATACTGTCTACATAAGAGAAAAGGACGAGATTTGTTTACTTACTGTTCGTGCAGATTGACAGAGAAGTTCCTTTAATTGAGGAATGGGTTGGAGAGAGACAGGGTGATGCAATTGATCTGGACGCTAATTAAAATCAGGACTAATCTGAGTAATAGTTTCAAAATTAAAAGAGTTTATGACCAATCCAAAGAATTCGTGAATTTTACAAAATTGGTATGAAGCCATCATTCTAGTCATTTTAAGCTAAAAATAAATTTTAGAATATTTTTAAGAGGATTGTTATTTGGATCTAAAAATTTGAACTGATTTGTTATTATAATGATGTGGTTTCATTAGAATCAATAACAAGTTCCAATGTTTGATGAGGCCCACAATTAATCCAAATATTATAAAGTGAATTAGATCAACAAATTAAGTTAATAAATTAGCTCTTAATAGCATTGCTCTATTTTTAAACACTTTTCTATTTTATATTGTAATACGAGATATTTTCATATTTTTTTCTTCAATCATATTACTTTTAGCTATTTTTTGTTAATTGGGGTTTAATGAATTGTTTAACCAATGAATTAATAGTGGACCACATTCAATCCAATAATCAAAATGAATTAGGTCCTCATATTTTATTTTCAAATTCTGGAAAGTAGTGACATTTACGTCTGTCAAAATCTAACACGACATGATTAAGCGACATGAATCAACACGGATTAAGCGTGTTTGAGTGAGACTTTAATGAGTTCGGGTGATAAACGGATTGACCCATTTAACACGTTTAATAAACGGGTCATGTTCAGATGAAATATGTCAACTCGTTTGTAACTCGTTTACTCGTTTAAATAAAATTAATATAATAATAAATTAATAATTATTTTTAAAAAGTTAGCAAGAATTTTTTTTTTAGTGACAGCCACACAGAAAATATATAAAGGTATCTTTTCCCAAAGTCCAAACCTTAATACTTTTCTTTCTACGCTGAAGCCTTCAGCGGCACCTCCAAGTCCAACTCTTCTACTCCTATCTCTATCTCTCTTGGTCGGTAGCATCTCAAGCTAACCATTTCAAAGACTTCGAGCAACTCAGCTAGCAGTTAGAACTTCAGCACCTTCTTCCCGAAGAACACTGAAAATTTCATACAATAGGCAGTTCTGATTCACCCCAGTTATCAAATTTATCTCCAAAGCTGAACCGACCTCTCTAATTGCAAGTACTGATAACATCATGATGTGAACCCATAAACGAATTCAAGAACCCATGGGCAAATTGATTGAAGACTCTCCAAGAAAGTTCACAAATCAGATTATAAGAACCAAGAACCCTATACCCAATGTTTGCAAGAAACAATAACCCAAGGTTAAAAGTTCAAGAGAAAGACGCTACACTAAAGATTGAGCGATAAGTCGATGAACGCCACAAGAAAAATTAATTCTTGATAAGTTCTTGAAATAGTTCTTGGAAGAATAATAAAGTAGAAGCCTCACAATACTAATAAAAATATTCTGTTTTTTACAATGCTTTGAACGCTTATTTATAGGCTGGTTATTACAAAGAAAACTTCCTAAAATAGCTTATCCTATTTAAGAAATATCTCTTACTTGCTAATAAAGAAATAACTCTTACTTTCCTAAACTCTTACTTTCCTAAAAGAGAAAAACACAATCAGCCCTTTAATATGCTGATCACATGTCTAATTAAACTAGGAAAGTCTTTCTTTCCTAAAAAGAATAATTCACATGCCTAAATAGATAAGGAAAGTCTTACAATTAGACTAATTTTAAACATGCCAATTTTAAGCTTAGCCTTTGCCGGAATCTTATAGAACTTGCATCATGTTGATGGATCTTTGTTGCCCAAGTGGATCATGCTTCATGCTTGAACTTGCACAATCAGCCCATATGTCTTGAATCAGCTCGTTCAATGCTTCAATCATCTTTTTTGCTCTTGCCCGAGTCATAGGACCTCCATTTATGCTCAACGGATCAGATTGCATTGCATCATTCCTCTTCTCTTCAAAAAGATTCGTCCTCGAATCTTTGTGATCTGCAATAAAAGGAGAAAGATCAGTAACATTAAAAGTAGCACTAACACTATACTCACCAGGAAGATCTAGTTTGTAAGCGTTATCATTTATTTGTGCCACCACTTGGAAAGGCCTATCTCCTATGGGCTGCAACTTAGAACACCTGTGTGCGGGAAAACGCTCCTTTCGCATATGCACCCAAACCCAATCTCCAGGCTCAAAGACCACATTCTTACGCTTCTTTTTAGCTTGAGTAGCATATTGCTTCACCCACCTCTCAATGTGCAATCTAACTTTCTCATGCATTTGCTTTACCAATTCTGCCTTTCGTTTTTCATCTAAATTAGCACACTCATCAACGGGTAAAGGCATCAAATCTAATGGAGTTAAAGTATTAAAACCATAGACAATTTTAAAAGGGGAATAATTAGCAGCAGAGTGCACACTACGATTATAAGCAAATTCGACATGAGGTAAACAATCCTCCTAAGTTTTTTAATTCTTACCAATGACAACACGCAATAAAGTAGAAAGAGTACGATTAGTTACCTCAGTTTTCCCATCTGTTTGTGGATGACAAGTAGTAGAAAAGAGTAATTCAGTACCAAGTTTATCCCACAACGTCTTCTAGAAATAGCTCAAAAATTTAGCATCATGATCAGACACAATGCTCCGAGGCACTCCATGTAAAAACACCACATCTCTCAAGAACAAATAAGCTACATTGCTTGCATCATGTTTTTTTATTATTATTATTGAACCTCGATGGTACGAGGGAGTTTTATTGATTTCAAATAAAATTACAAATAACTAGGGGGGACGTATGTACTTTACTCCTCGATGCAATCTAGTTGCATGGAATAATGAAATAAATAAAAGAAAGCAAAATAATGTATCCTAAGCATGCTGCCTTCTTAACTAAAAAATTCCAACTGATGTAGGAACATTCCAGCTGAATTGGAAACCTTTGAAGCTTTCCAGTTGAACATGAAGCCTAACTGCCAAAAGAGATTTCCTGGAATTAAATGCAGCTTCCATAATACAACTGCCTAAGAGTCTGACTAAAGAAGAAATTCTACTGCACAAAAGAGCCCACTCGAACAAGAAGTCCAGCTGCAAGGATGACGTGAACAGTGACATGAACAGTGAAAGAAAAGTCTAGCAATCCACAAACCAGTCCAACTGCAGTTCTAGATGAACAGTAACGTGAACAGTGAGATAGCGGTTGTCTTTTCACAGAGTGGACTCCTAGTAGTAGTCAAACATGCACTAGGAGTGTAACTAAAAGAGCCCAGCCGAACTAGAGGAAGACCTTAGACATAGTTATCAATTAAACGTAACCTTAGAATGTAGAATTCTAATTTGGCATTGATCTTGCACTAGTAGCTGTCTAGTGTGAAGAGACAGGGTGTCAAAGGAAGTATGAATGCGAGAAATCTCATCCCTGACTCCTTGGTTGGCTAGTGAATTTGCAACTGCATTCCCCTCTCTGAATGAATGTTGGATTTGAAATTCAAAACTTCGAATAACCGAACAAATTTTCTTTGAAACCTCCTAGAATTTCCAAGATGATATTTGCCTCTGAATGATCATATCCACCAATATTTTAGAGTTAGATTCAATAATTAAAGGATAAACCTCTAATCCATGATCTTGTAACAGTAATAATCTACTCAATAATGCCTTCATTTCAGCCTCCATATTCGAACAATGATCGTAGTAATAAGAACCTGCAAGGACAAGTTTGCCCCAATGATTTCTGAGCACAACTCCCCCTCCTGACAAACCTAGATTTCCCTTTGATGCACCATCAATGTTTAGTTTTAAAAAGCCTTCTGGTGGCAAGGACCAGCTAATCCATTTTGCATGTATTCCCACAGAACTAGTAGTATATATGTTAAGTGACTGAAACAACATTTTATCTTGAGGAGAATCAACTGATTTAGGCTTCACCACATGAACCTGTAGCTTCCATTGATTCAATATTGTCCTGAAAACCACTGAAGGAATTTGTTTTTCATGCTAATAAAGCCTTATGCACCTTTCCTTCCAAAGCTACCAATAAATAATCAATGGAAAACCCTCATTAAGGTGTGAAAGAGAGATGAATGCTTGAAAATTCTAACAATCCTCATAAATCTTGTAATTGGAGGTTCATTAGTTATAAGTTGAAAACCCAACAGAGTCGAAAACTTCTTCCAAATAAAAGCAGCAAATTTACAGGAGATAAAGATATGGTCCTCTGAATCCACTTCTAAACAGCATAGGGCACATATACTTGCTAGATTAATTCTTATTGCTTGATATGTAGAGTCCACAGGTAAAGCCTTCTTCAGAATTTTCCACCCCAGATTGTTGGGGGGAGCCCTTTGCTTCCAAACTGTGGATGCATGAATTTAAGCGTCTCCCCTATCTCTAAGTAATTCCCAGGCAGATTTAACAGAGAAATTCCCCAAAGATGTGTGTTTCCAGACGAGTCTATCCGGTGTAGCAGACAAGCAAATGTCAGCTATTATGATTTCTTGCAGCAGATGGGCATATATATCTTGCTAGACCATGTTCAATTCCCAATGTCCATTAATCAAGACCTGTGACAGTTTTGAAAGTGTGTAGGCATAATAGAATTTCTCAATATAAGTAGCCCAAATCCTATCCAATTATCACACCAGAAGTCTATTGAAACTCCTGTTCCCACCAGTTGCGTGGAGTTACTCACTACCAACTCAAAATAAGGCTGCAAATTATTGAAACATCTCGAATGCCCTTGCCTTTGATTTTTGAGCAGATGCTGATTACTAAGAAACTTAGCAGTGAAGAAAGATGACCATAAGACGGATCCCTTCATCAAATGCCAGACTTGTTTTATTCTAAAAGACTGTTGCACCTCCTCAAACCTTCTGATACCCAATCTACCCTCTTCTTTAGGCAATGTAATAGATTTCCAAGAACACCAGTGCCTCTTTTTAACCTCTGATTTACTGAACCAAAGGAAAGAAGCTATCATGGAGTTTAACTTAGTTATGGTTCCCTTAGGTAGGTGTAGAGAGGACATAAGATGGACTAGTAGAGATTGTAAGACTGACTTGATAAGCATAATTCTGCCCATATTTGAGAGCAATTTAGTATACCATCCCTCCAACTTAACTTGAACTTGTGCAAAAGATCTTCAAAGTAGTGCATTTTTACTCTCCCTTTAATGATAGGACAACCCAAGTAGGTGAGTGAACAAGATTTAATGGGGATGTTAGCCACCTATGACAGTCTATTTCTCCTTACTAATGGGGTTCTTGAGGAACAATATAGTGAGCTTTTTTGCAAGTGAGCTTTTTGCCCTGAAGATGCTTCATATTTCCCCACAAACTTCAACATATTAACCATAGATTTTTTTGTGCCATTCAGAAAGATTAAAGTATCATCTGCTAATAACATATGTGAAAGCAAAATGACACCTCTACCTGTATAAAAGCTCTTGATCAAACCTTGCTGAAAATGATGTTTTAAACCTCTGCTCAAGACTTCCTCTGCGAGAATAAATAAGCTGGAAGATGGGGGGATCCCCTTGCCTCAACCCCCTAGAGCTAGGGAAAAATCCATGTCTAGCACCATTAATTACCAGAGAGATATTCTGGTTATTAAGGCAGTTAGAGATAATGAGAACAAACTCTTCTGAAAAGTCATAACTCGTCAATGTTTGCTTTAGAAAATCCCATTCTAAACGATCAAATGCTTTCATCATATCAAGTTTGACAATAACATTACCCCTTTCCACTTTCCTATCCAATTCATTAACCATCCATTGAGCAAGGGCTACACTATCTACAACATTTCTGCCCTGGACAAAACCTTGTTGCTCTTCCGAAATTAGCTTAGGAAGTAGATTACTTAGTCTAGATGCCAGCAACTTTGTGAAGATTTTATATAAGAAATTAGATAAACTTATAGGCCTGAATTATGAAAAGGAGGAAGGCTTCTCAATCTTGGGAATAAGAGACAACAATACAACATTAACCAATCTAGCAATCACTCCACCTTTCATGAAAAAATTAGCAGCCTCCAACAGATCCTGATTAATTGTATCCCAAGTGGTTTGAAAAAACTTACCTGAGAAACCATTCGGACCTGGGGCACTATACACGACATTTTAAAGACTACTTCCTTTAGTTCTTGCAAGGAAATTGGGGCCAATAGCATGAGATTATCCTCCTCTGTGACCAACTTAGGGATGAAAGAAAATAGCTCCTCCTCTATATGATGGGGTTCTGAAGTGTAAACACTAGAAAAGATGTCCACGGCACAATTTGCAATTAGAGCTTCCTCTTCCACCCAAATACCCTGCTCATTCTTGATCCTTTGAATTCTTTTTCCTGATGACTTGCCTTTTGCTATGGCATGGTATAGTCTTGTATTTCTTCCCCCCTCAATAGTCCACTGCACATTAGCTTTTGTCTCCAAAAAATTTCTTCTATTCTTAATGCATTGTCCAGCTCTATTCTTGCCCTTTCCACTGATGAAATATTTGTTGCAGAGTCATGATTCTCCATTTCAATCTTTGTTTGCAACAATAGTTGTTCCTATTTCTTGATATTTTCAAATACATTACCAAATGTTTCCTTNTCTATTCTTGCCCTTTCCACTGATGAAATATTTGTTGTAGAGTCATGATTCTCCATTTCAATCTTTGTTTGCAACAATAGTTGTTCCTATTTCTTGATATTTTCAAATACATTACCAAATGTTTCCTTGTGACAAATTTTTAAATGGGTTTTGAGATACTTGAGCCTGAGATACACATTTTGTATGNGCACATTAGCTTTTGTCTCCAAAAAATTTCTTCTATTCTTAATGCATTGTCCAGCTCTATTCTTGCCCTTTCCACTGATGAAATATTTGTTGTAGAGTCATGATTCTCCATTTCAATCTTTGTTTGCAACAATAGTTGTTCCTATTTCTTGATATTTTCAAATACATTACCAAATGTTTCCTTGTGACAAATTTTTAAATGGGTTTTGAGATACTTGAGCCTGAGATACACATTTTGTATGGGATTTGTAGAGTAAGAACCCCCCCNAAATGTTTCCTTGTTACAAATTTTTAAATGGGTTTTGAGATACTTGAGCCTGAGATACACATTTTGTATGGGATTTGTAGAGTAAGAACCCCCCCCCCCACGCAGTTTGCACCAACAGCAAGAAGCCCAAGTGTTCCACCCACATATCCATGAATTTAAAATATGATATTCTTCAGGGAGCTGCATCTTTAGAATTCTTGAAAATCAGTGGACAATGATCAAAAGAACCTTTGGCGGCATGCTCCACAACTATACTCTAAAATCTTTCGCCCCATTCTACATTCATTAATGCCCTGTCAATACGCTGCCACGTTCTAGCCATTCCATCACGATTGTTACACCATGTGAAATTTGTTCCAGAGAAGCCACAGTTTTTTAATCCCGATGCATTAATAAAAGTAATAAACTCGTGCATACTAGATAAACTAGGGGGTGAACCTCCTCTCCTCTTTGTTGAAGACACAATGGCGTTGAAATCCCCTACCACCATCCATGGCATGGTAGACATTGACAATGCAGAGAGATGGTCCCATAAGGGTCTGTGAAGAACATTATCACACTTGGCATAGACAAATGAAACCAAAAAAGGCAAAGAACCCATGTACGAAGCTTTAATTGTAAGAGCTTGTTCGTGAATTGAAAAAACCTCCACTTGCACCTTATGGTCCCAAAGAACCCATATATATTTCTCTGCTAAAAGATTAGCTAATGACGAAGAGAACCCTAGACTTTATGACACGCAATGAAATGTGTCATCTTTGAAAATATGTCAATAACAACAAACACAGAATCCTGTCCCCGTTTTGTCCTAGGTAAACCTAACACAAAATCCATGGAGATATCTACCCAAGGTGAACTAGGTATAGGTATGGGATTATACAGACCATGGGGCTGAACCTTAGACTTAGCCTTTGTACAAGCAACACATTTCTCACAAATTCGCTCAACATCCCGTTTCATATGTGGCCAAAAAAAGTGTTCAACTAACACATCTAAGGTTTTCCTAACACCAAAGTGTCCCATTAAACCACCCCCATGTGGTTCTCTAACTAATAACTCACACATCGAAAAA